AGACTTTCTTCTTGTTTATTTTCTTTCTCCTCCAAACACTGCTGTAGCCTCCCTTGTTTATTTTGCTGTTCGAGCTGCCACTGTTGCAGGTTTGCTTGCCACTACTGTTGTCTCTCTTCTTGTTTATTTTCTCGTTCTTCCTGTTTCTTTTCTTTTTCTTCCAACAGCTGCTGTAACTTCTCTTCTTGTTTTTCTCATTCCTTCTTGTTTCTTTTCTTTTTCCTCCAACCACTGCTGTAGTCTCTCTTCTTGTTTATTTTCTCGTTCTTCTTGTTCCTTTTCTTTGTCCTCCAAACAATGCTGTAGTCTCTTTTCTTGTTTATTTTCTTGTTCTTCTTGTTTCTTTTACTGTTCTTGTATTGCTGCCATCAAATCTGCTAAGTCGTAGTTTGATTTGCCACTTCTCGTTTCCATCTTCTTTTTTCTCTTTTTTCTTTTCCGTTCCACTCTCTGACACCAATTTGTTCTGCTTGTTTGTTAATTTCCTGAATAAATTCTTTCCCAGAAACTTCAGCGATACAAGTCCTTTCTTGATTAACCCAGTTTATTCTTCCTGGACACAAATTTTAGTAATGCACAGGATTTCCACAGTCACTTTAAAATTAACAATCTTTATAACACACGCTATAAATCACAGCGATTCACACACTTTACTTATGGTGCCTACTGTTCGCTTGGCTCAATTATCTATCTCTCCGATCTATCTATATCTGTAATCTATCTGCCTATGTCGCTGGCTTTCTTTGCCAGGCTTATATACTAAAAACGAGGGCGTCTAGCAAACACTCGAACATTAGCGGGGTTCCCCGATACTTATAGAAACTCCAGCGCGCATGCTCCAAGAGTCACGCGACTTCCGCTGTCGTAACAACTTATTATTCATTGTTAGTAGCGGCATAGTATTTGAGATTATATAATATAAGCTTAAAAGTGTTAATTTCAGTACTGTCTTATCATTTCTGCTAAGACGTACATATATGTTTTAAATCAGCGTATGAAACTGTATTAGAATAACATTTATTCAAATAAAAATTTAACAGTTCATCAAACCGGAAAATGCCCAAGTTTTCGATAGGCAAAGTGGGGAAACCAGTAATGTAGGAGTTTTATTCTCCATGTAAAGTAGAGACACGTTTGTTTTATTATTTAAAAAGGTAGATGTACGTTCCATGCTAGGTCTCAGATGCCAGCGACCCCTGTAAGTGTGATGAAAAAAATATATACATATGTTACTTTAGTCCAACTTACATTTCCTTTATTTTATTTTAAATAATATGAACATCGCTTTGTTGTTCTACCATACATGCCCCCCAGTGGCACAGCGGTATGTCTGCGGACTTATAACGCTAGAATCTGGGTTTCGATACCCGTGGTGGGCAGAGCACAGATAGCCCATTGTGTAGCTTTGTGCTTAATTATAAACAAAACCTACCATACACACAAAGTTGCACGCACACACAAATTCACACATCCATAAATAAAGAAATTAAATCGGTAATGCGTGTCGCTGATGGTTTTTTTTTTGCCAACTATTAGTGCGCATGCGTAACGAAGGGATCAGAAGTATAATTTGTTTGTAAACAAACAAAAGATTTATATGTGTCAGTTGCAGGAAATTTAAAAAAAAATAAAAGAAACTAAATCTTTAATTCTGACTGATAACTACAGATATGTGACCTTTCATTGGCTTTATATATAATTTGAGCAGCGTGTATTGTTGACACGTTCTTGATATTTATCTACGCTAGCCCCCTGGAAAGTTGTTCCTGATATTTAATCCTGTTTACGTAGCTATCTGTATACAAACAGTTGAATTTAACGTAGATGGAACTTTCTCATGCAATTTTATATTTTCTTCCGTCTTTTCCTGCCTATATATATGTGTGTGTTTGTACATATAACACGGTTTTATTGTATTTAAAAAGACATGTCTTTGTTGTATAATTCTATTGTATTTAAAAAAGACATGTCTTTGTTGTATAATTTTATTGTCTTTAAAAAAGACGTGTCTTTATTGTAATAATTTTCTAAGTGTCTTGATTACATTTCAAATACAGTTTACGTTTAAGACATTTTGAATGTATTTTCTTGTACGCAATGTTTTAGTGTCCTATTTACGAAGCGCTGTGATTTTATAGTTCAGTAATTTATTGCTGGGCGTAATCTTTATCTTTATCAAGTTGCATGAAGGCAGATGCTGCACGTCACCAAAAAGATGAAATCAGCTGTTTTACACTTGAAAAAGTTGAAATCAGATACTGGTGTCATATGAAAAAGTTTAAATCAAATGTTGTATCACGTGGAAAAGCTCGAATCAAATGCTGTATCTCACTCAAAAAACTGAAATCAAATGCTGTACCACGCTGAAAAAGCTTGTTTGTTTGTTTTTCTTATAACAGAGCCACATCGGGTCATCTACTGTATCCATCGAGGGGATTCGAACCCCTGATTTAAG